TGAGGAGATCAGAAATATGTGCATTAATCTGAAGAGAAAAATGAGGGTCTAAGGGTGAAGATTTGAAATTCATCTTCACTCAGAGCCGTAAATGTTGCAGAAGCCAGAAAAATCATGAGGAGTCAGCATGGGGAATCAAACGTGGAATGCAGACCAAGTGAAGCCTGAGCAAAAGTGGAAGCCAGTGAGGTCGGAGGGAACCCGAGACCTAAGAAGCAAATCACGATGTACCACCTCCCAAAGATCAGCTCAGGGGTCTATCCAAGGGGGAATAGCAGCAGGGAAACAAAAATGCGCTTGGGTTTGTAACTAGACGCTCATTGAAATACTGCTGTTGGGAGTTTGTAGGTGAGTTAGAAGATTAGACTCATTGCGGAGCTGTGAGTATTGGGTGTGAATGTGAAGAAATACTATCCTTCTGAGAAGGCCTGGAGGGCAAAGACAGACAGAGATAGACATGGACTGAAGGGTCTAATTGAATGGAGAGATTTGTTCCTACAGATGGTTGCCAGGTTTCGTTTTGAGAGGAATGCAGTGAGGGGTGGGGACGGGATCACAGGTGTAGTGGGGAGAAGTCCTCCTGTCTGGAGTGTGCCTGGAAGACCTCAAAGGGGAGTTTGGTGTGCAGGGATGAAGAGCACTCAGTTGAGAAGCGAGCAAAGATGAGTGAAGAGAATGCAAGCCTGTGACCTGAGAGGGGATCTCTGAGCAGTAGCTTAGAATGTGTGGTAATTCCAGAAGTGGCCAAGGCTTGGCTGTGATGTGGAGAGTTGGATGTCTGTGGGTATTCTTCAGTAACAGTGGGTGTCTGTGACTCACACCCTGAAACCAGAAAATATTAAACCTGCATGTGGAATCACAGAAATTTATTCACACCTATTTATATAAACATAATAAATGTAAATATTTTATGTATTTGCATATCCTACATGGGTATAACACACTCCATTTAAAAATATTTTACATATGTCTCAGCAGTAGCTCAAGGACATAGTAAATGCTCAACACACGGTGGCTTAGTTGAACTAATGTATTTATGTAGAGGTTTTTTTTTCTGGACCACCCCTTAAATCACAACCTTAAGCTATAAATGGAGTTTGGGCTGGAATTCATAGCTTTAAAATAATAGTTTGTGATAGGCTTAGACCTGTGCTTCTTTACAACTTGATCCTTGCACCAAGTGTCGTTTTCACTTTTGCCAAAAGAGATTCTATACACCAGCACCCCAAGGCTGTGAGGAGCTCTCGGTTCCCATTAGAGCTGCCACCTCCAGTCACACCAGCAGATGCAAGACATGGACCATCACTAGCAGCTCACAGTGATTATCTCTGACATCACTGAACAAGGACAACGTGGCAGAGAAACGCACCAGATTCCAACATTGTCCACCCATTCCTGGCATTGCTAGGATAACCCAACCAATACTCTCTTAGCAAAGCTCTTTCTCCCTGATTCTGTGCTGCTACCTAGAGCACCCAAAGTGCTCTCCAAGGCTTGGGAAGAACACTGACTCCACTCAAGGGTTTGACAGCGGCTTTGTTGTGGGAGCAGATAGCTTATGTTTCAAGCCACGGAATTCACAGGGACCTTGTGTGACTGGGCAAGTGTGGTGGCGGCGGGATGAAGGCAGGATGTGTTCCTTCAGCCTGTGACCTTATATATGGCTGCTTCCCCAAACTAGATGGAATCCTAGACCTAGATCGATATTGGAAGTTCTCAGAATGACAAATGAGTATTCTATCATTGACCCAAGCATATAATAGGCTCACAGGTTAAACAGTACCTGAGGGTCAACTGGCTCCTTCACAGAGAATATGAGGAAGGAAACTAGGGTGTTTAGAATGCAGGCCAATCAGTTAACCGGCAGATTATTTGATCTAGAACAGAGAAAGATAATGCGTGATTTTGATAACACACGAACAGATTCTATACTGAATACGAATGGACATCTTCCTCTGCAGCTCTCTACTCAGCACCTTGCATTTGAGGAAAGGCACCTGTCTTCTGTCTCCCAGGTCACAATTCTTACCTGCCCTATGTGGTGTAGAATTTAGCTATCTAGAAACCATGTACGTGACTGTTGAAAATAAATCCCAGGTAGACCTCCTAGTCCAGGGTCCCCATGAGCCTTAACTAATAGGTAGAGATGAAGCATGGCTTAAATGACTAGTTTTCTGGACCCTTTTTCCTTTCTCCCTGCTCTCTTGCTCATGATGCTCTTGTTGCTTTCTCCTGCTGGTTTATTGTAACTTATTCCCAGGAAAAGGAATGAAAGTCCTAATGTAGATTAGGTATTTAAATGTACAAATCCCTAATATGGCTTTAGTGTGTCACTCTTCCTGGGAATGCTTTCATTGCAATAGCAGATGGACAGCTCAGCCCAAATGTAGTAAGTCTGCCTGGGAAGCCAACAGTTGGCAGGCTCTTTCAGGATCTTGAAAGTGAGCCATGGGTCATTTGCCATCCATAAGGCCAGAGCCACACCTGTATGAATGACCTCCTCAGGGTACTTCTTACCCCTAAAGAATTCCTCAGACAGCAAGAACACTCTCTGACACCAAGGTGAAGAAAGCAAAGGCAACAATACCGTAGTGTTTTAGCAGTCTCCAGATCACACACTTTTTATATGGCTTTGGGAACATATAGTATGGCCACAATGCCCAGAAACACCGAACACATTCACCAGTAAACTGCCATTACATCATTTATGCACACATCTGAATCATTCTGAGCACACCAAAGCAGACACACTCAGGGTGCCAAGCAAGGACAGGGCCTTTTCAGAGATGGTGATTAAAAAAATAATAAAGTGAGTTCAGGAATAGCTTTTCTGAAGGCTTTAGCCCAAACGTTCAAGTTAATCTTCCCCCAAATATTGAACCAATTAAAAAAAAAGAAAAATAAAAAAGAAACCCTAGCTCTTAAATGAGAGGTGCAGGTGACCAGCACTCTGCAGAGAATTCTCCCTGGGGCAATTCCTGATGTCCGTGGAAGACTGGGCAAGTGATATTCACGTCACTGTATAGAAGACTCCTATGTTACACATGCGTTTGGGCACTACTGACACCACCAACATTTAATGGGATCATCTGGGATATTTTCCCCCAATCACAAAATGGTTGTGGCCAGTACCGGGGAATAACATGAAGGATGTTTCCCAAGTTCTGGCTGAGGATACACAGTGACAACTTGAAAATAACAAGGTCCACTGTACATGCAGCACTCTGAAAGGGTGTGCACATCTTCACTCAGGCAAATTCAAGAATCAGATTGTTGAGGTCACTGGACACACTGAAGTGTCAGCATCGCCACTAAAAGGAGTGATGTGGGACCACATCCATCAACCAACTTTCACAATGGTAGAGAGCACTTGTGAGAGAAATCATGGATTCTGAAGGACACCACGGAACACAAGATGCTCCTCAGGGCTTTGCAGAACCTCACAGTTTTGGATGGATTGGTTCTTGGTCCATATCCACCAGTGATGGAGAGGGGAACAGCTGCTGAATTCTTCCTTATGTACTCAACTGACTTGCTATTATGGAATTTCACATATAAAACTTGACAGAGTTCATTTCCTCATTCTTTTTAGAGCAGGTCATGAATATCTTGCTTTGGTCCAAATTCAAAAATCCAGTTGGAGAAAGGTGACCAATTGAGACCGAATAAGGGGTTTAGGATAGTTAAATTATCTCTCTGACAGCCTCTAATGGTGGAAGGATAGGGAATATGGGGAAAAGTGAAGTATGCTGGGTGAATCGTGAGAGAGAGTGGTGGAGGGAGGGAGGGAAAGAGAGATGGAGAGTGGAAGAGAGAGAGAGGGAGGGAGGGAGGGAAAGAGAGAGAGAGAGAGAGGGAGGGAGGGAAAGAGAGAGAGAGGGAGGGAGGGAGGGAAAGAGAGAGAGAGAGGGGGGGGGAGCTGAAGCTGCTGTCTTTCACAAGCCAACAATCTAGTGAAAGGGATTTTATTTGTTTGGTTAATCTCAAATCAGATTTGGGACACCTAACTTGAACAAAATAGCATCTCCCATGGCAGTAACAAGATCAAGGCAACTGTAAAGCCACCATTGGACTGTCTTGAGCCACTTTTCTACCTCTGAAACTAACTTTAGCTACCATGCCAGGCTAATGAGTTTTGAGGGGATCTGTTGGCCCTTTCTAGAAAAGCATGTTAATCCGTAAGACCCCTGCATCCATTGCTATTCCTGTACAACCTAAAACCACATGTTGAAGTAGAACTAGTGGACATTTCTTGGGTGTACCTGAAGTGGTCATTTCTATAGGTGCGCACAGATGGGGGATGGGATGGTCAGGTACTATGGCATGACATATCGGAATGGTAGGATGACAGTTAAGCATCAGAGAAGGCTGCTGTGAGAGTTCTCAGAACCTATTTCAAGAAACCTCTCAGCCATGTCAAGAATGTGAGGTAACTGGACCTCAATTCTTTTTCAAGCCCTTTGGGGAACCTTTGCAAGCCTAGGTGCTGACAAGGAAAAATTTGGTGCCCCCAGGTTGTCTTTGTCAGAGTGATGGCTTCCTATGGTCTCCCTAGAAGACAAGGGTCAGAGCAAGTTTTGCTCAGTGCTAAATTGGACACTGCAAAACTCAGGCCAAAGTGCACGATCATTTCTCACAAACCAGCAGGAAGACAGGTTTTGGAGGCGGGGCATGAACATAAATGACTTTCCCCTGGCTTGTTCACCACTGTGGCTTCTGTTCTCATGAACATTTCCCAGACACTCTGAAGCAAAGGCCATGACAAACAATTCCTCCCAACCGAAAATGAAAACCCGGAAGGAAATAATTCCCCCCTCATTCCCGTCCCCACCCCCCTCCCTCCAGCCAACACCCTGAATACTCACAGGAGAACACCTTATCTATACAAAATCAATTAGAAAACAAAATATTTACATATGAAATAAACACCATCTTGATTTCTGAGGCCCGTGGAGACCATCAGAGCCCCCTGTTTTCTAGATTGCTGTTCGCTAGGTTAGTTGGTTTGGTTTTTTTTTTCTTTTTTTAATTTTAAAGGGGTGAGGTAAGAGGAAGAGTGGGGGATGAGTCCCTGGCCCTTGGGCAGAGCCAGAGTGAAGCAGTTTTCCTATGACCCTTCTCCTTCCTCCAGGAGATGCCTCACACCCTCTGTCCTCTCTCAGAGTCTTTCCTGGATCCTAAAGTAACGCACTCCACGTTCCTCTCTCCAGACTGTTGAGAGGTTCAGCCCCTTGCCCCCACGTTCATCTTAGAAAGAAAACAAGGCCTTCAGTTGGCTTTTAAATGAAAGGTACTGAGGTAAAAAATCAAGGAGGAGGGTGGGAGACAGCAGTCAAGGATGGGAGATGAGGGGAGGTCGTGAGGCAGGGCGGCCAGGAAGGCAGAAAGCAGCCCTGGAGGGTGTGACGTGAAGAGACATGGCAGCTTCGTTCCAGAGGGTGAGCACCTTTCTGGTTTATGTGTCCTGTGTGCCACAAGGCGATCCTGCGGTCAAGCTTCCAAACAGACCCAGGGTTCTTTGGATACCACCCTGTGTGAGGGGGTGGCAGGACAGTGGAACTGACCTATAGAACACCCCTACCCCAAGTTTCAGGAGAGATGGTGACACAAATATTAATTTCCCTTCTTAATCTCCAACTTTAAGTGAGGGGAATCACACCTACCAGCACCCCATCCCTGAAGTCACTCACTCTCTCTCTCTCTCTCTCTCTCTCTCTCTCTCTCTCTCTCTCTCTCTCTCTCATACACACACACTCACACACGTTCACTGTAGAGTGGTACAGTCTATGAGGGAACTGGGAGTTGCAGAAGAGGAAGGGTTCTATCAAGAATGTTCACATTAGTTCAAGTCATATTCCAAATGTCTTCCATTCTCTCTGGCTTCTAGAGTTTTAGCCTGGAGGGCAAGCTCATCTCTCTCCTCCCTCTGTCTGATGTCACTTATCACCAGTTCTGGGGGAATTCGCCTACTCTTTCAGCTCTGGGTTAAGTAAGAAGGGATCAAAGCATTGAACACATCCCCCTGTCTCACCTACCCTACTGAAAATGATTCTCTTCTTCAAATCCTTCTGTGGAGAGTTTTTCCTGAAACTTTGGCCAGTCAAGGGGCTAAATGCCTTAAGAGACTTTTCTAGAACCTTTTACTCTGAGTTTGGATAAAAGATTCATGGTTGCCTTGATTTCCCTTAAGCCCTTCTGGACAGTTCTCTGCCTGCGCTGATAGAAACGCTAGGCAACACTGACAAACTAATTTGTAGGGTTGGTTGTCTTACTTACTTTCATTTTCTTTTGTCATTTTTTTTCCTACAGTGCAGAATCTTCTTTGTCAAGAACCTCCATCCTTTCTCAAGAAGGGAAAAGGGAGGGATAGCCCAACCTGTGACACCGGTTTATATATAAGCCAAAATAAGCATACATATTACTAGGCATGGTGAAGGAAGGGATGGGAAGAGGTCCCTTTCTCTGTATTCAGAGGCCCTTGACTACATTGTGCATGGACAGATGTGCACACACCATTCCCTACTCTGCCTCCAATGCGCGGCCGGACACGATGGCAGTCAGCTCTCCAATTATTTTCTCAGGAAGCCCTCATCTGCCCATGGCCTTCCCCGTAGGTTCACCACCCAAGAGTTTTATGGAACTGACGCAAACTCTGCATTTGGCTTATATATAAGCACAGAATAACTTCCTGCCTTCTGCTTGTTTACAGGGTCCCTGGGCAGCTGCCAGCCACGCAGCAAGAATTCAGCAAACAGCCTCTTCTCTCTGACGAGCAGGAGGCCAAATGGCCCTCCTTGGGCCGCCTTCACTTCCTCGCCTGAACAAAGAGCAGTTTCAGGAAAGACTCCCTCACAGCGCCTCTTCACTAGGAAGAAGCACGCAGGCAGCGAACACTACCTGCCTCCTCTCCGTCCTCCCACACACTGAGGCCCGTTCTGTCCTCTCAAGGGAACAGGGATGCTGGACAGAAGTAGGGAGAAGAGAACTGCTCGAGGGAGGAGAAATGGTGCTGGCCACGAGGGTTGCCTTCAGTAGGAACCAGAACTCCGGGATCCCACAGAGAAACGAAAAGAACAAGAAAAAGCAAATGGGAGCCAAGTTCACCCCCAACTCTTTCCAGGACATGCGCACCACGCGGCCCACAGCCCTAGCCCTCCCGTACCCACCTTAACCTCTCTCTCTCTCTCTCTCTACCCTCACTCAGACATCAGACTCAATACTAGAAAGTTTCTCATAAACATGTCCATTGCTGGAGCCATTGAAAGCCCTGGGGTTTTTGTTGTTAGGCACACAGGGGTTGGACTGGTTCCCTATACAAATGTCCTTCTGGAAACGACCAGGCACAGCCCCATGAAGGGCCGACACCACTGGCTTATTGGTGACAAGGGCCCGGAAGTCCGGCCTTGTTTTCGATGCCCCTGCCACCGTGGGCTGCCTGAAGAAGTAGGATTTGCTGCCGTGAAGCAAGCACTGGTCATCCCCAAAAGTGGGGATGAAAGGGTTTTGCGTGACCCGGTCAGGGTAGAGCGACTTGCTGAGCATGTAGCCGCCGCCAGGGTTGTTGTGGTGGTGTCCGGCAGTGGGCACTGAGGACTTGTTGTTGGCAAAGGAACTCTCACCAGCTGGCATCTCAAACATGTGGGCGTAGGGGCTCCCATCGAGGAATCGGCCCTTGTCTTTCAGACTCACGCTGCGTGGGGCCAAGGCGGCCTCCTCCTTCTGCAGGTCCACGAAGGTGTCGTAGGAGTGCTGCCGGCGTAGTTTGTTCCGATTCTTCTTCTGGGCCTTGGAATTAGTCGGGCTTTGAGGGTACTTGGTGGCGGAGGCGTTGGATGTCACGGCCACAGGGGCGGCTGGCTGGTCCAGTTCCTGCAGGGAGTTGTCCTCGCTGATGTCATACAGGTTCCCAGCCTTCTTGCAGGCCTCACACCTGATGCAGGCCTGCCGGCCCGAGTTCTGCCCTGCCACCGTGGAGGAGTAATTGTGCAGCTTGGAGGGACAGCTGCGGCAGAAGTTGCCCCCGGACCGGTCCTCCCAATCTACATTGGTCAGATTCTTCTCCCAAGGAGCTGGCACCCCACCTACCACGCCGTGCTTATCGCCTGAGCCGTGTTTGAGGTGAGACCTGTTGGTACAGGGCCCACCTCCACTGACCGAATCTCGCTTGAAGTCATCACTGCGTTCTTTGTAAATGTCGGTCAGGTCCACATGCTCCCAGTGAGGCGAGTTCTCCTTTGTTCGGAACTGGTCCAGGTAGAAGTCTCGGAGTCCTTCTTTGTCCCTGAAGTAGCGTTTGTGGTCGGGGGAGCGGGGTGGTCGGCGACGGTAGGCCAGCTCGATTTCGTCAAACTCCCTCCTAGACTTGGCCGAAGCTGGCCGCTTCTTCAGACTGTCCTTATACTGCTGTTTCCTCCTCTTGGCTGCGTTGCCCTCAATGTTTCCGTAGGTGACAGTGTGCGTGGAAATGTCTGAGACATCCGATCGAATCAGGTCATCATGGCCACTGTAGCGGTCGCTCTTGAAGGAGAACTTGCCATATAGGTCACTGAGCTGGCTGTGTTTGGAGGACGGCAGGCCTATGTCCAGGGGCTTCTTGCTGATTGACCTGGGCTGGGTGGTAAAGGGTGGGTTGTCACAGTCGTAGAGCCCATCAATGGAGCTGGTGCTACCAATGCTGTGTGGCCGGTGGTGATGGTGATAGTGGTCTTGGTACACGTTGCTGTCCTTCAGCTGTAGGTTGCCAAATGTCCGCTCTACCTCACTAATGTAGTCACTGAACAGGTTTTCCTCACAGGGTGGGTTGTTGTAAGACTTGCAATCTGAATGTGTGAAGCTGCGGCGGTGCTCGGAGATGTCATAGACGGAGGACTCTCGCCGGATAAAGTCCAGGGCGCTCTGAGGGGAGCCATTTACTCCAGACAGGTTGGCCATATTCTTGGCTGTGCGGAGCAAGCGTAGGATGTTGGAGTGTGTGTTGTTCATGGTAGCGGTCGGGGAGTTCATCACGGATTGGCGCTCTTCTATCGCTACTCCGTGGATGCAGCTGTAGATACCCTGAAGGGACATAGGACGGTACACATTGAGTTCAGAGAATTGGAGACACAGAATAGACAACAGTGCCCTATCACTAACAAGGCAAGAAAATGATAGAAGAATCATAAGGCAGGCAGTGTGCTACATTCACAGAAAATGAGGACAGAATCTGACCATCAGAGAGCAGACTCCTCATACCAAGGGACTTGGACAAATAGATGACATGGCATTCCTCCTTCAACTGCAAACATGATCTACCTTGGTTTTCCTTCCTCTACCCAGATTTCCCAATTTAGAACAGATCCATGTTATAAACATATGGCAAGAGTATATAAGCAGATTCTTGGAAGCACAGGGCATCTCACCATGGATGCTGTGGCCCTTTGGCTCTGGTTGGTACCCCTGACTGATGTTGCTCACAATTGCCTCCTGTTTCCAGGTCTGACCGATTTTGAGAGCTTTTAGAGTTTTGATCAGCAAATAACAAGGGAACAATGCTGTTCTGTAGCTAAGCATGAACCGAATTCACACAGAGAATTAGAAAGCCCTGGGGTCAAAGAAGGATTTTATACTGCTGTGGCCTCCACTGTGGGAGGGAAGAATTGGGACAAATACCAGGAGCTGGATATGAATAAATAACTCCCTTGTTGAGGTCTCTCCCTTATTCATTCTTTAATTCTTGGCTCCCTTCTTTTATTCAGCATTATCATAATTAATTAATGTTCTATCAAATTATCATTGATGAAGAATGCCCCACATACAGCTACTTGCTCAGGGCACTGAAGGACAGCACCCATGAGAAAAGATGGGCTGTTTTCCTGGGGCACCAATCTCCCATGTCTACAGTCAGGTCACCCTACTGCGCATGAGGTCACCTCTCATGTGCTGTCATGAAAGGCAAACAGACTTGGAGTTTTGTCCCTGGCAAGGGAAGGTTTAAGAAGAAGTCACTTTAAACTGCATCTTTACGTCTCAGAGGCAAGCGAAGGTATGTGAAGAAGCGACTTTAAACTACATCTTTGCAGCTAAGAAGGTTAGCTTGGGAAGGGAGCTTGTCTGAACGGGCAGAGCCGAGACCATAAAAGGTCAGAAGGAAAATGGCAGTGATGGGTAAAGAAGCATCAGACCTTGTGAGACACGAGAGCTACCCAGTGGGTGTTCTACTCCCATTCTGCCTCTCATTTCTGACTTCCACAGTGGCCAGGAGGACACTCCTCTCTGAAGACAGTGACCACTTCAGAGGGCCATGAATGAGATTTCTCTTTCCTGTTGTGTCTGTGGCCTCTGGGAAGGTCTGCCTAGTGGAACCCAAGACCTAGGGACCTAGAGTCCCACAGTTCCCTTCTCCTGTTCTCATTTGAGTCAACAACCTGCATTGACTGACAGCTAGAGAGGACATGGAGAAACTGTTCCAGGCCACTAAAACACCACAAGAAAAACGGCCAGAGAATGAAATGGCCATTTGCTTTCACAACTCCATTTGAGTCAAGGTTGGTCATATATGGAATGTAATCCTCAAACCTAAAAGGTCATTTGAGGTCACTACTCACATGTGAGTCCCACAACTGCAGTAACAAAGCCAGGAGAATCCTTCTGTTTAAAATCCTCCCCTATGTGACCTGAGGTTCATATACCCAACTATTTCCCTCACACCTCATTCTCAATTGGAAATGAAGATCTCTAACCCAGCCTGGAGTCTTGTCCCAGTGAAGTCAGTTTTTGGAGTATGTTTCTTATGAGTCAGGACTTGGGTCCTGTTAGGCTTGTCTCTTTTAAATGTTATTTATATCTGTACCCCCCCCCCACACACACACTTGCACGTGATCCTCTTGTCTCAGCCTCCCAGTGTTGGTATTACAGGCATGTGCTACCACATCCAATCTTTACGCTCTTTAAGTCCCACACCTCACATGTGATTCAAATATAAGAACAGTAAGACCATCAGTGATATGCCTTTGTGTGTTAGAACAAGAGCTGTTACACTCTACTATTTAAGGATCGAGTGATTATTGCAGCCTATACACAATCAAGTAGTGGTGATGTAAGAGGCAAATGTGGAAAAGTCAAATTTTCTATTTTGAGAAATCTGTCTCTTTTTTTGTTTTTGTTTTGTGTTTTGGAGAATCAAATGTTTGAGTCTCAAGTGGAAGGAAACATAGCACCACCCGTCTTAGAAACACCTGGATTTCTCTCATGCTGAGTTCTGGGGAGGAGCATATGATGTGATCTCATGCTTTAGATTTGTATGACCATAACTAGCACTCTCTTGGGTCTCTCTGCTTGGCACAGAACAAGGCTAAACAGTCCTTAACAAACTTTGGGTATCTAAGTCAAAACACTTACTCTGCTGATGGAGAAGACCATGCCAGGCTTGCCAGAACAGACACCCATGAAACAATGTCGGAACTGCCAATAGAACAGATGTTCACAGATGAAGGTGATGAGGCTGAGAGCCATGGCTGCCCCCAACATATAGAAGACGCCTGCCATGTTGTCGATGTCCAGCTGACTGCTCATAACCTCATTCTTCTCATTGTGGCAAATGCCAGTGAGCCAGAGGGCTTCAAGTTCTTCCATCTCCCCTAGAAGGAGTAGAGAAGGAGACAGATAAAGGAGGGTGGGAGGAGAGGGAGAGAGAGAGAAGGAAGAGAGTTGAAGGGCATAAAAACATGACAGAAAGAGACACACAAAAAGAGAGAAAATGAATACTTTTTGTTAATACGATTACATCTTAACTCATCAATGTGTCCCCAAGTTTTCAGTGAAAATGTAATGAATGAACCACAGGTGACACAAGGACAGGGAACTCCTCTGTAGCTCTCCTTTATCCAGTGTAAATCGGCAGCTCAATGCTAGGTATTACATACACCATGCTATGCAAAGAACAAGAACTAAAATTAGTAACATCAGTTTGTGGGCAAAGTGGTCAATGGGAAAAAGAGAGAGAGAGAGAGAGAGAGAGAGAGAGAGAGAGAGAGAGAGAGAGAGAGAGAGAGAGAGAGAGAAATTGAAAGTGTGGGTGTATTTTAGTGCATCGTGTACGTAAAAGCATCACAAACAGCAGGAGTAGCATCATCAAAGGGGAAGAGGCGGGAAATAGGCTCATTTAGGGAGCCCAAGAAAAACAGTTCAGATAGAATGGCCCTCAGCAAGAAAGCTTATAAAAGGGTTAATGCAATAAATCTGAGGTTAGACACTCTGTCCTTTATTTTATAAACAGTGGGGATAACATAATCAAAGAGATAAAAACTGTGGGAATTATACAGAGCAGATTAGATTTGGGAAGAAGAGGTTGAAAGAGATTGGAGAGAGGTTGGGTCCCTATGGTCTCTCAGAATTACAGATCGCTGACAGAGAAAAATATGGAGAGTAAAAGAGAGGGAAGCTGGAATGACCCGAGACCACCCCAATGGAAGTTGCTTCCTCTCAACCCTGCTGAAGGGGGCATCGATTACTCCAGTTCTGACAAGTTAATGATGCTTATCTGATACCACCGAGTATTAGCCAGTAGGAATGCAGAACTCTTAGGCAAAAAAAAAAATGAAGTAAAACATGTACCCGAGAATGTCACTAATTTCAAACAAGTAAAATTCTAGAAATCTCATGACGGATAGTGCAGTCTGTTGACTGTGGTTTGAACTTTGCATGGTCCAAAGGAAGCCAAAGTCCTCTCTGAGGATGCACTGGATCATAGAATAAGGAGCCATTTGGCTGTGACTACTAGTTAAACCAATATGATTTGTCAACGCTCCAGGTACTTTTACTCCTTTCTTCTTTGATTCAACAATGCTTGCCCTAACTAGTGCAGCAGCCAGATTCAGCTGGAGCCTGGAAACAAACCTCAGGCTTTGCCTCTGATGCCTTCCCCGACAGAAAAAGTGCTACAGTCACTGTGGACAAACCCACATGACTGACGGGCTGGGAAACCGTGCAGAGCGAGGTTCATCTAAATCTAGATTAGTTTGTGTGTGAGGCCTGGTCTGAAGAGTTGATGCTTTGGAGAGTGAAGTGAAGAGAAATTCACAAGACAGTACTTTAATAAAATCAAATTTCTCTGTGTTCAGTCCACCACTGGAAAACACAGTCAAGTGCCTCACGGTATCTACATCTCCATTCACCTCTTCAGCCATAATGATCAAAGCAGAACAGAGTGAAGGCTGAGCAAACAGCCTGGGAGCAGAAAGAGCACTGCCCTACTGTTCTGGGCCACATGCAGAGTGGTATCTGAAACATCTAACTGTAGCCTACTCCATCCCTGAAGGGTTCCTTATACCACACAATCTTCAAATGTACCCTTGTCACCAACTACTCAAATTCCTTCCTTCATCTTTTATCCAGTGCAGGTTAAAGTGTGTCTCATTGCAATTCATATATTGAACTCCTAACTACTGATAGCCTAGGATGTGGCTTTATTTGGAAACAGGATCATTGCAGATGTAATTGATCATGATGAGGTCACATCGGAACACACTGGGCCCCTCGTCTCATATGACTGGCTTTAAGAAAAGTGTGGATTCAGAGAGAGATGAATACAGAGAAAAATCACACACTCAGGTAGAATGAAAGTAGAGGTCTGAGTGGTACTTTCACAGGTCAAGGAATACCAAGAAGAACCAACAAGCCACCAAAAGTCATGTGACGAGTGTAAAGAGGTTTCTTCTTCACCACTCCCAAGTGAAACTGGCTGTATTGGTACCTGCCGTGCCCAGAACTTCAAGACAATAAATCTTACTGTGTATCTCATTCCATTCATGCCTTTTATTATGGCAGCCCTAGGAATCTAAAAAGTGCTCTTCAATTTTATTGTATCCTATGACAAGCTGTTTTGGATACACAAAGAAGAAAAGTTGTTATTTCAGAATGGCTATTGGTTGAGGTCAAGTGGACATTCCCCTTTCCTTAACTCACCATCTCCAAATAGCTGCAGAATAGCGAGGTCCACCTGGCGCTTCCACCCAGAATCCTTCTGGATAGCAATGCCATAGCCAGTAGACGCAAAGACCTTGCCACTGCCAATGGTCACCAGCTTGCAGCCTTCATCTCTTCCGGCCATGTAGTTGAGCACTGCTGCATCATAGATGAAAGCATCTAGCTTCCTGCACAAGAAAGAAGCAAACAAACCAATATCAAGGAGGAAATTGCAGAGCAAAGCTACCTATTGGGCCATTAGAGTGAAGTGGTGGGGTTCCAGAAGCTATGTGGAGGATTGGCTCACGATGAGGTGCAAGTGGGACTATTGTCAGAGTCTAAAGCCTGCATCCTGGGCTGTTGTTCTTGTTGGGACTTCAGGTTGAAAAGAGTTGTTTATTTTTCCCCTCCCACTAGGAATGATAAGAATGTAAGTTGGGCCCGAGGCCAAATCATAAGCTGTGTCTGAAAAGGAGAAGGAGTAAAAAGGAATCAATAAAAATAATAACAGAAATAATGAAAAGTAAGCACCACAATGATGACAAATAGCACGGGTAAGGTTTATATAACGTTTTTCATTTCTCCGTTCATTACAGTCCAGAGTGGGGGGAGGTGTAGGTGTACATGTTTCCGGAGATGTATGGCTATTTTGGTGGTCAGAGATTTCACTGCTCTCTCGTTTTGTAAGACTTTGCTGTGAGAGGCCAGAGTGGTGACAGCTAGCTTGTGCAAAAGCAAATGTGCAACACTTCAAGAGAAGGTGACACACAGAAGAACCGAGATCATTCACATTCCTAAAGCTCCATGCACATCCTGAGACGCCAAGCTTTGCAAAGATGGGTTGCATAGAGAAAAGATCTAGGCTAAGAGCAAGAAGGCATGCGACACTGTTTCAAACCAACATTTCCACACTTGAAAGGCAGAGGAAGCAACTCGGATGGAGCCATGCAAGTGACAGGCCTGAAAGGAAGGAGAACATGCAACGCCCCACCTCCCCCAAACATTTGTAAGTTAGGGATCTTTGTCCCTGTTGAAGAACAAAAGCCAGCCCTTTCTGACATGACAAGCCATAGGGTGTTTTTTGTAAAATCCATCTTATAAAATGTAGGTGGTTACACCAAATACCAAACATCTGGTGTAACTGGGAACTATGGGTGTTCCACGTTTTGGGCTACCCAGAGTATTCCTACCTTATCTTCAGACCCCATGTTATGAAATCTGTTGTGACTTTGTTTCTAGCAATAAGATTGAATCTCAGAGTACTTTAAATGTGCACACATCTAGGTGGTGCTTGGAGATCTTGAGGTGTAAGGGTGACCAGACAAGGTAGTCGTCATAGAACAAAAGGAAACAGCTGTGGGACCCATTATCCCCCAAATCTCAACATTTACAATGCCCAGTGTCAACCATTTTTCACAGCACTGACTTTCAAACAGAAGGACAAGTGTGCCCGGTGAGCTACATGACAGTTTACCCATGGTTTGTGATAAAATGTAAGCATAGTACAGAGAAGGGCTATGAGGAATGATAGTGACACTGGAATTGGAGCTGAATCAACCAGGCATCTAGAGACTTTTGCACACTTCCCCTTTTACTTCCCCTCATCCATGGATCGCAGAAAGGTCTCTTCCACCTCTTAGACTGTGGCCCATGTGTGACAATATGAGCTCTCTCCTTGATTCCTCCTTCCACATTCCCATCTGTTGCATTTCCAGCCCACATTCATGCAAGCAGCCAACAGTTTGCAGGACGCTACACAGAAGCAAGCAACAGCACAAGAAATTTCTGTACAATGGTTGGAGTGAGGCTGTCATATTTAACTAGGAAACAGTCTTTGATTTAATGATTATGGCACCAGTTCAATCTGTGTCTAATGGAGGTGGGAAACATATCACTCTGAGCTTGGAGGCCATTCTTACCCTGTTTTCAGGGAGAGCAATGCATCATCTACACCCCTTTGGTTGAACTTTCCCATGTAGGCATGCATTTCTGCATAGTTATTGCGGATATTCCTCTCTGTGCTGCCATTGGGTACAGTCCCAAAGCGGAAAGGGGGTGAAAAGTCATTAGGCCTCTGGAACTGGAGAGAGAAAGAAAGAGAGAGAGAGGGAGACAGAGACAGAGAAAGGAAGAAATGCTTTAGAAAAATGTGAAGAGACATAAGTCAGCATTAGTGAGTTATAATGGAAAGGAACCAACTATAATTCACCAAACACATTAGCCCTCCTCACTCAGGAGCAGTAATTGCCTTCTGGAAGTGGACTTCAGTTCAACTCAATTTAATACTTATTGCTAAAAGATTTCTATTTGCCCAACCCCGAGTTTAATCTATAACCCTGTGTGTTCCTTCTTTGCACACAGCACAATAACAATGCTGATGGGCCTGGAAGTGGTGTGATACAGCTTGACTATGGTAGATTAGTCAGCTTTATTTCCAAAAATTGTCTAAAATCTCCACCTAGGCCTCTTAATACAGTGTCGTTGTACAATTAAGGCTGCACAGCATTATATTAATGAAGATAATGTTTGAAAATCAAATACATTTGGCTAAGAAATTTTCTCTTGACCTTCAAAGCACTCAAAATTCCATTGATCTTATACCAGCTATTGGGTAACTTGCAAATCCCATGTCATTTTAACCATGTTCCCCTCTTGCTTAAATTCTGAGCATACATCTCCAGGACCCAGCACCAGAATTGAAATTCCTTGGATTCTGTCCCTATCACATCAGTTTTGTTCCTAACAATTACCCCTCAATGAGTTAGGTCTTAATGTTGCTTCCAGAGCACACAACTTGCCATTTGTCTTTTCACAGCCTCGTTGAGTCCATCACTTTAACACAGACTCACCTTTCTCTTCGGGACAATTCATGTCTTTCACTTCAAAATATAGCTCAAAGCAACTGCTTTGGGAAACCTCCTGTGAACTCTTCCTTCTATCAAATTGACCGCAAAGTGATCCACCAGCACGTATTATTCTTGCTTAGAGCACTGTGGTTCATACTGTGAATTCAGCAACTCCTGGAATGCACTGACTAAGAACTGAGAACTAGTCTTTGATGTGCTCATTAATAGTTTAAGCTCGAGACTGAAACAGATGTGAAGACCGGGTTTGCCACTTGCTACTTCATGCCTCTGGTCATTAACAGAAAACATGCATCATTTCTTCCTCTATCATAAGGACTTAGTGATACTCTGCTTTCAAGACCATGGCAGACTTAACACAGCACCTGACATGCAGTACGGTTGCTTGACACAAACCAGGTAACCTGGTTAGAGGGACTTCAGTTGAGAAAATGCCTCCAACAGATTGTCCTGTAGGCAAGTCTGTAGAGTATTTTTTGATTAATGATTTATGTGGGAAGACCTAGACCATTGTGGGTGGTACCACCCTTGCAAAGGTGGTTCTGGGTTTTTATAAAGGGAAAGAAACCTGAAAAAACCAAGGAGAACATGTCAGTAAGCAAATTACCCTCCCCCCCCGTTTCTGCTTCAGGTTCTGCCTCTGGGTTCCTGCCATTCTTGAGTTCCTGCCTTGGCTTTCCTCATTGATGAACTGTGATTGGGGCATAGAAGCCAAATAGTCCCTTCTTCCCCATTGTCCTTGGTCAGAGTCTTTATTATATCCGGAGAAAGCAAACTAAGACCTTAGGTGCTCAGTAATGGCCCCGTGTTGTTTTAAAATCATGTACATTTAAATTTTGTTGCCTGATAAGAAGCAAGCTGTCTAATCTTCTTGTCCTGTCAATAGAGCTAGCATGACAGAGAAAATGGGCAGAAAGCTGTGCCTCGGCATGCAGAGGACAGTGAAAATGTTTAAATACTCTTGGTTTCAATACTGTACTTGTTACCTTGGAGCTGTATTTGAAAATCTAGCCCATCCCTGGGGGCCATGGACCCTTTAAAACAGCCCAGGCTCAGTGGCCATTCTTATCCTTCTCAGAATGTGAGGACTTCCTGGACCATAGATTCTCATAACACAAGGTGCTGTCACAGCCACTATAGCTACTCAGTGTTGGCAACAGCTCAGAGTAGGGCCAGAGACTGTTTAGAGGCCTCAAAAGACCATACTTCCCAACTAGAAAACTTCTTTTTGTGATCAGCATGATGTATGCCATTAATAGTTTTTTGTTTATTTATTTTAAACAGGTTACAATTTTTAAGTGAGTAAAGATAGTAGAAGAGTCAGAGAATTTAAGAGTTGTCTACTCAAAGCTAAGTAGCTTAAACTTTTCATTGGACAAATGATGAAACAGTGCCCAGTGAGGGCAATTTTCTCAATAGCACCCAGTGGCAGTGGTGGCCAGTATCATCAGTGTTTCCCTGGCTTAATTAAGAATGACTCCTCACTGTGCCCGGCAGATAGTGAGCTTACAGTAAACAAGGTTATGCTTTAATAAAAGAGACAGATACCAGAATACTTCACACATTACTGTCAAATATAACTCCCCATAAATTTGAAGAAAGCCATTCCCCAAATTGAAAGCACGGTGGATAACATGGGAGGTAGCAGCCAGTATAGTCACATAAACTCCCTCTTATCTACAAATCTGCACTTGGCTAGGACAATGAGAATAGATACACACATTGATTAAGATGCTGTTCCATAATAGTTTCTGAAGTATTATTGAATACTAGAATTACATCCAATTCGAATCTAATATAAATTATTATCATCTAAGTATTTTAAAAAATTAATGTATGCAAGGTACACACAATAACTTTTGATTAACTAAGTGGAATCCTTGCCCACTGTTCCTACTTCTGGATAGACCTACAAGCTAAGATATTTCTATCTTTGTACCATGGTCTTTTCATTTGAAATAATCTTTAAGTTCTCTATGTCATTTCACAATCACATCCGTAGCTAAATAAGGCATAAAAAATATAGACCTACAATAGCAAAACGCCATTTTCAAGGAGAGGGGGCAACACTGAAGGATGTGAAGATATATTGAAGAGCTACGATGCTGTTACAGCATTGGTGCAAAGATGATGAGGGGGAAGGTTGACAGAACAGAGTGGCTACCAACAGACACACGCACACAGTGTGAGCAGTTCAATGGAGATAAGCTAGCTTTCAGCAAATGGTGTGAAGATAATTAGGTGTTCCTGTATAAAGCAAACACTATTCCTCACCTTCCAAGATCAATAGCAATTACCTCAAAGTTGTAAAAATTTCAGGAGAAAATGTATGAGAACATTTTTTGAACCTAGAGTTAGACAAATCCTATACATCATGTGTCTAACCCACCAACAGAGGGAATAAAGATAAATTAAAGTTCATCAAGATGCAGTTATGATCATGAAAAGGTAAGCCTCCAACTGGGGTGAAGTATCTGAAAAGGAATTAAATCTATTAAAAAAACAAATTAGATAATAACAGACCAAGACTTACATCATTTAAGGCATCTCCCGTGAGTACATAACCAGAGAAACAACATAGACTACAATGGAAAGTTTGGGAGGGGGCATCCTCTGGACAGAATTTAGCCTGGAGACAATTTGGAGTTAAATCCATCCTGGGCACATGCCTACCACGGGAACATGAACATGGGCAAGTTCCTTAGTCTTGCAACATTCCATTTTTTTTCTGGAAACATTATTTTAATAACTAAGACAATACATAGGAAAGCACTTAATACTGTATGAAACTCATAACAATTAACGGCTTCTGTGGCAATGAAGTTCCAATATCTAAAATTGCCCTGTGTGAGGCAGTGTTCCCTTAGACTGAAGTCTTATTGCCCAATCTGCCCCTTAAACTAGGCCAGTCCGGAGGCCAACAGGGGGGACACCGGCTCAGAATTAGCCAGAGCAGATGTAGATATCAGCTGCCTTCTCCTTTGAAAACTCTTGTTCAGCTTGACAGTAGGTTTACATAAAACAGTTCTTTAAAAGCTGTCATTGGACCTTGAACTTAACTAAAATCCACATTCACAAGGAACAGTATGCTTAAGGAAACCGGTGGGGAAGAAGAAAAGGAAAGCTCCCAAATGCCGTTGTAATAAAACTCACCTCAAGATTCACAGCCCTATTGTTTAACCTCCCTGACAGCTGATGGTTTCTGGGGTATGGGTGAGGAATAAAAATATATACTGTGAATAATCTAAATTAGAAGAGGGAGGATCTTGACAAATAATTTTTAAAAATATTATTCCAATAACAATTAGATTTAAAAACTGTCTGATTTTCAAATAGTCATTAGAAATAACCGCATTCCTTACTAACCTCTGGGTACTATAAGACTTCCTTCAATGCACTCTCCTAGGGTCCACCCAGATTGGGCCTCCTAAAACACAGATTCAGCTAGTGAGATGAAAATAAGGGAGGGTAGGATCCTCAGGGCTCAGACCCCTTTCACAGATGGAGACGCCAAGGTCCCAGAGAGTCAAGGATATTGCTCAGGGTGTGTGAAGGAGAAGGATAAACTGAGATTTTCCCATTGCCAGCCAAGATGAAGCTGAGAGTCATTTTACCCTGGTTTCCTGGGAAGTGAGGCCATATGCTGTTAAGTGAGGGTCACCTGGGAGGCCATCTTTCCCTTTCTGGTGTCACAGTTGCTTGCTCCCACCCTCTCCACTGGGTCCAATGCTTGCTCCTGGCAGTCACTGTAGGCTCACACACTACGAGAGGTAACACCAAGACAGAATGAAGAGAACTGTAATCTCACTCAGTCTTCCCGGAGAGCCGTGAGTCAGAATTCAGCACTCCGAGCCTTTCACATCAGCATCTCGGCCTCCGTTTCAATGACCTTAAAGTGGATTTGTCTTTTGCAGTCAGTCATGCAGGGAGAAAGATGCCCGAGGACCAGGAGCAAAGGCCCTCACTTTCACCCCAAATGATCATTCTGTGGATCCCTGGGGCTGTTTGGCTGCCAGCACCCCACAGAAGAGTCTCTCACAGAGCTTGTGACAATGAAAAAGAAAAGGGAACAAGCAGAAGGGGTCTGGTCTAGTCCAGTTTGTTTTCTTACAGTCAAATAAATATGTAAGTTGATTTTCCTAAGTGTAGGGCTCTGTTAATCCATTAATAATAGCCATAATCATTTTACATCCATGTATGTGCTAGGAATTGCCAC